ATTTAATTCAATTTTCAAATTACAATAGTCTCTCCATGATATCTTTAAGTATTATTCTGGTGTCTTTTTTGTCACTTTTCTTTTGAGCTAATTATAATTAACTCAACGTCTTCTTCATTCAATATATGATTATCTTCAAAAGGTAATCGACAGGTTAATGGTAGAGTGAATTTTGGAACATCTTGAACGTCGTTTTTAAACTCTAAACCCAATGGAATCGGTAATTTCTCGTTATATTTTCTGACTTCTTTTTTGGCTTCTTTTTTTTCAATTTTTTCAATTTTGTTTTTTAATGTTTCTTTACCATTTCTTTGACTTTTTTATCAAACAATTCTAATTTTTGTTTTTAAAAGTCAAAATTTTCGTCGTTGTGCGTGATGTTTAAACGTTTCATATGTATTACAGATCTTTTTTATTTAATTAGAGCCACAAAATCTACTTTTTAAACACATATTAATATTTGAATGTTATAATTCTTACATTTTTTATTTAAATAAAAAATTATTGTATAAAATTATTATACAAATTTTAATATTTAAATATTTAAACCTTTCTTTATATTTTTTAAATTTACAAAAATTAATACAAATTAATCGGCAAAATAAATTTTTATTTACATAAAAAATGAATAATCTATTTATTTTAAAAAATATTTTTGCCATCCATAAAAATGGTTGTCCAGTGGATAGAAAAAATAGATATATGTGTCCAGTGGATGGGTTTCATCCAGTAATATGTCTTAATAATTAATTTTATTTATTATTTGGCGTTTTGTTGTGTTTTGACGATTTTTAATATAATCAATTAACAAAACTCACTTTATAAAAATTCTTTGATAATTTTATTTATAAATTTTTAAATCAATAGTGGCAGTGCTATAAATATCTCTGAGGATGGTAAGTCGTGTAACAAACAGACTTTATCAACACAGACTTAAACATCCAAGAAGTGAAATGACTTGTTCCCATATTCAAAAATAGTAACTTACTCAATATACATTTCAGACCGATGTAAAAGTGTTAACTTTCTATTTCTGTCATCCTCAGAAAATAATTGCCATCCTCAGAACTGTAAATCTGTTTGAAACACAAGTTAATATCAAAATGAATCAATCATATTAAAATATACACAACATGATTAACTATGTTATTATAATAAATTTGAATAATTGCTTAAATTACAAAGTTATTAATATATTTGTTAAATTTTTAAAATTGCATTTTTATTAAATCAGTGTTTTCGACTTTTTCAATTTTCATTTTGATTAAAAAACAATTATTAATTTAAACGTAAATTTCAATCGTTTTGTTATTAAAACGGATTCGGAAATAATTTCAATAAGTATATAATCATAATATGAACAAGTTTAATTCACACTTTATTATTTCCCGTCTCAAGTTCGCGAGATATAATTATTGTTTTTGTTCACTGATAATTGTGGCGATTTTTGATGGTTTTTAATATTTTGGCATTTATGACAAATTATTACCATTATTTAAAATTTGAACTTTGGCTCGAAATATTAAGTGTAAATTATAACTTGAGTTATGAAAGTGGGCCTTATGGGGAACTGAACCTTATGGATTTGATTTTTGTATCATCAGAAAAATATTTTTTAACCCTTCCAATACCAGAAATATGATTGTTATAACACGCATACAAATGATTATAAACTTAAATCTGTAAACTAAAAGTTGTTTAAAATAAAACATTATTTAGTTTTAATATGATAGTTTTCAGTTCCGGTTTGATATTACATTTATAATATATAAAAAGTTTGCAAGTTTTATTTTTTTGTATATTATATAAATTGAAAGTCTAACACAGTTGTGTCATACAAATTAGTTATAACATATATTTTATAATAATTTAGAGTAATGTATATAAAGGTTCTTTCTTTAAAAAAGTTTAAAAGGTAGTAATGTTATTCATATACATTTGGTTTATTTTGTGGAATGAAAACGATTTTTTTAAAACGATAGTTAAGAAGAAAAATTTTGTAAATATATCTCGTATACATATGATTCTCAACAAAAGGTTATAAAGCGAGAACGCTAACCATTAGTGTGTTTACACAACTAATATCATAATATTTGATTGTTTGTTACATATATCAAAATTCAATAAAATATCAACATTTTTACACATTAGTTACAAAACATCAAAACATTTACAATATAAACTAAATTAAAATAATTACTTTTGGAATTTTCAAAGTATGACTTATCCCTTGTTTTTCAATAATAAATTTTTATCAGAATTTTATTTGATACGTTTTTCTTATTTTAAAACCCTGTTTATAGAAAGACTTATTGTGTATAGTTTATTGTACTATACACAATTTTTTGAAATAAAAAAAATTAAACTTGAAAATAATTACAGGAAACTTCGTCAAGTTATTCTCACTGATAAAGTGAACCTTTTTTCAACAAAAATACGATTTTAGGTTAAAATTTACTATTAATTTATAGTAAATTAAATTATTTTTTACTATTAATTTTGTTTCCTGGTATTCCCCATGGTTGTTAAAAGTTTAAAGCGTTTTTTGCATTATTTCTTTCTAATATACACTCAAAATGAATAAGATATAAATAAGTTTACATTTTTTGGAACTTTTTGGTACTGGAAGGGTTAATAAGGATGGCTTTGATCCTGAGGATACACCTTATCCCCAAAAAACCCTTTAGTATTAAAAACGCGAAAGAATAGGGTAAAAAATATCCCGTTTTAATAGCATTTTTAAATACTAATTTTTCATAACAAAAAGCGCGTACCCGAAGTCTTTTTTGAATTCAAGTTTAAGTTCATGAAAAGTTAAACCATTTTGAATATAAAAAACAATTAACAAAAATTATTTCAAGTAATTTTCAAGCATTTCAATAGTTTTCTTTATATCACATCTTTCTCGTGAACTTTGGTTCCACATCACTTTCAAGATATCAAAGAGTTTTTCTGGTATTTCTTCTGGTCTGTCAAATCGTTTCCCGGCGCTAATAAAATCAGCTATTGACCATGGAAATCTAAATTTTTCTTTGGGAAACGGGTCTTTCCATGTTAAGACTTCATACATTGTAATAGCAAACGAAAAGACGTCTGCGCCTTTTGTGTATTTCTCTTTGTTTAAGACCTCAGGCGCCATATATTTTGGCGTACCAATTCCCTTGGTGAATGTCATATTAGAGACGAGTTGATTCACATTTCTTGCACTCCCAAAATCCGTCAATTTAGCATTGACCTTGTCGTTTAAATCAAGTGAAAACACAAGGAAATTGTCTGGTTTGATGTCTCTATGTAACACCCCATTTTCATGTAAATAAAACACGCCCTTTGCCCCATCCAAACAAAACTTGACTTTCATATTGAGCGCAACATCTTCACTCTTTTTGTGTTTCATCAAGTCTCTAACACTCCCATATTGAGCAAATTCAGTTACCATGCAAATTTTATTTGGTATAAACACGGCTCCGTAGAAATGTACAATATATTCACTTCTAAACTTGTCTAACATGGCAACTTCCTTCTCAAACTCTTGTATGGCCTTATCACTTTGATTCATCTCTTTCATTTTCTTTATAGCAACGTCACTCCCTCTGAATTCCCCATGATAAACAATTCCAAACGAGCCTTCACCAACTTTTTTGTTTTCAATTAACTCATCTGGGTCTAATTTAGTTGATATTTCAGTTTTTGCTCTAATTTGGATTTGACTTTCTGAGGTCTTTCCACTCGTCAAATTTGCAGAGAATAAATAAATATTGTCGTCGATTTTTGTTGAGCAATTTGGTGTTAAAAAGATTTCGAATTCGCACGCTTTTCCTTTTGGGATAGCAATAACTTCTGGTTGTGTTCTGAATGAGTATTTATAATTGCTTTCTTTAAAAGTAAACTGCACTTTTACTATGTTTTTAGAGATATTGCCAACACAGATCAATTCCCGCGTTTCTTCATCTACTTTTATGTCTCCATACGAGACACTTTCAAATTGTATTTCTTTCATGTTAACAACAATATCATCATTCGAAGTTTTTAGAAATTTGATGTTAGAACTACTCATAACAAAAAGACAAGTCTTCTTCCTTTCTTTCTCATGCCTTTTATGTTCCAATATTTTTAATATGATAATAATTGTTAATATGACGAGTGTTAGTATTATTATCACTACAAATAAAACACTTATAAAAATGACCCACCACACTACGTGTACATTACAAGACGTTCCTGAAGATTCTGGTACATGCCAGAAGGAACATTTGGAACACTTCGAATTTGTTATTTCTAGACACTTTGAAACTTTATTTATTGGAATACACTTCTCGTTTTTGAGAATAAAAGTGTCTTCACAAAGCACACAAACACCATATTGCACACATTCAGTACAATTATCCGTTTTTGTATTACAAGGCAGACACTTCTGATTGTCAATATAAAATCCGGTGTTACACAACAGACATCCACTCTGACTTTTTGATGTGCAATTCACCAACTCATCATAGGAAATACATTTGGTCGAGTCTGTTAATAAGTAATTATCTTTATCACAATTGAGACATGTGGAATTCTGATTACAGTCTGCACAACTTTCTATGCACTTCTCGCACATACCTTTAGAATTTCTAAAGTATTTTAAATCACAGAGTGCACACGAGGAACCCCCTCGTATTAGTCTTTTACAATGATTGGAAATATCAGAAACATGTGAACAAGACCCATTGTTTTGTAAATAGTATCCATCTTGACATAAAAGACATTGTTCTTTGTTATAACAATCAATACAATTTTCTAAACACTTTTCACATTGATTGTGAATAAGAAAATATCCAGTTATACATTGATAACAGCGGTCTTTTTCAGATATTGAATGAGTGCAATTATTAAAATGTGTTTCTATTGTTACACATGAGTTATTGACATCGTGGAAATACCCTTCGTCACATACAAGACATTTTTCGTTTTTCCAAGATACTAAACAATTTGTATTGATGTCACAGAGCCCACTAGAATTGATTGAATAATTTGGTGTTGTGCAAATAGTGCAATGAGTGTTCTGTGTCATTTGACAGTGTGTTTCTGTGAGTATTTCACATTTTCCAGTTATTGTGTTAATCACACCATCTTGAGAACAATTAAAACACTTTTTGGAATCACAAAAATCGCACAATTCGCCATATTTCAAAGAACATTTTTCACAATTATTTTCTTCATAATTTAAATAAAACGAATTTTTGCAGAAGATCACTTTAGTGTTACTGGAAAGTTCAACACCACTTTGTATTCCACAGAATTTGGAAGTCTCATTTTCAACCAAAAAGCTTTTAGTGTTGCAAATTTGGCAGATGGAAGAGTTGTAACATTGAATGCAATTTTGTGAACATGGTAGACAGTCTACAAATGAACTATAATATCCAATAACACACTTTCTTGTTCTTTGTAATTCGTATAATACAATATATCCTTTTGCGTTATTCATTCGAGAACAAGTGCCATCTTTGTCATAGTAGTAATCTTTTTCACATAAAACACACTTGTTATTCGAACAACGTTGACACTGTGATCTGCATTGTACACAATTGTTTCTATTTGCTTCATAACCCAATTCACATTCTTCACAAATTGAATATGTCTTTGTTGTATAGATATTATTACAATAATTGGATATGGGATTACATGTATTATTCTGATAATAATATGAATTGTTACATGCCAAACACCTTGAAATTTCATTTTCAACAGCTTTTGCTTCTAACGCCTTACAAGGATAGTTTGTGTCACTGATTATCACCAAAGGGTTTTGAGACAATTTTTCATTCATTTTTTGAGTCGAAATTTCAAAGCCAAAATTGGTTCCAATAAACAGTTTTAGTGTTCCAAAAAGTAGTTTATAATTTCCATTATTTAAAGAATTGTTTGAAACAAATAAAGTTGTTTCTATTGTTTCATGAAATTGAGTATTTAATTCTTGTTTCTTTTCAAATTTTATTTGTTTGTAATTTTCACTGTCTTGACTAAAAATCCCTTTAAAATCACCCAGTTGTTCAAAGAATATATTTTTAAGAATAATAGTTGCATTTTCATTGTTAATTGGGCAATGAAGGACTTTCTCTTCATAACTCTGATAATCGTCCATGTTATTCCCAGTAAAATTACAACAGGTTTTTTGAAAAGGAAAAATACTATTAGGGCACACTCTCATTAATTTCTTTTCAATAAAAATAGAATTGGATAAAGTAAAAGTACTTTCTTGGTTGTTTTGAAACGAAAACAATTCGACACAAAAATCGATTGGAGTAGTGTTTACCCACTGGATTGCATTCTGGATATTTAAATATTTAAAAACTCCTCCACTTTCAACTTGAATTTTCCCATTGTGATTTGTGTTGTTTGTGACATTAATCAAAGTGATCTGAGCGCTTTGTTGTAAAGTCATTATACCTTCATTTTTCACGATACAATGAGCGTTTTTTACAAATTGTATTTCATTTGTAATGGTGATTTTTGTATATAGAAAAAGGTCGCTTTCAAGATGAATAACTGACATGATTAATTCATTAACACCATCAATAGTGATATTATTATTAAGAATGTTTATTTGTTGCCATTTTTGGGTTTCTGTAGGGTTGTAAATATCAGCATCGAGTTGTAGTGTTAATTTCGATTGTTGTGTGTTGTTAAAGCAATCTCCTTTATAAAGTACGTTTTCAAGGGATGGATCCCATGTTCCACCAGTGTTATTACAATAACACATATACCCGTCATTTATTGTGTAGAATGCTCTAAATCCACAAGAACTTAAAACATTATTTGTATTTGTCAATTTTCCCAGTATTATAAATAGTATTTTGTTATTTAATTGCTCATTATAAATAACATTCACAACATTTAAATCATATGAAAATTGATACATTCCAATTGAATTGATCTGCAAATTTTGAATTATAACATTCATATTTACTATGACATTTGTGTCTTGGTTCATTTCTAGCGTTTCAAAACTTAATAACGAATTTGTTATTTGTATGGAGTTTAAAACGTAATATTTAAATGTAGAAAAAATAATTGAATACCATTTTGTTATTTGAATATTCACATTAAATTGTGTTTCAAAAACATCCGTTGTCAAATCCAAATCAAATAAAGATGAGTTGTATTTACAATCTGGATAATACCAATTATCATCTCCAATTATTTCCATGTCATTTATTCGTTTACAATTACAAGTTGTGTTCATCACATTCGCCAAATCTTCTCCGTCTAGAAATGCTAAAAATCTTTTAAACCCATTTCGTTCACACACTGGTCTTCCATTATAATATTTTTCGTCATTTAATTTTTCATATAACACTCTTACATTGCCATCGTCTACATTTCCTGTAAACAAAAATCTACGCCTTGAAAATGCATAATCATAATTTTTTAAATATCTATATATAAATTCAACATTATTTGGTGTTTCTTTTCCGTCAATAAAAAGTTGTGGGGGCATTTCGTTTTTTTCTATATAGTCGTCAATCCTGATGTTTTCTTTTATATCCGAGTAGATCGAAATGCCTCTATAATGAAGATCGATACCAAGTATTTTACCATCATCAACAGATTTCCGACAGAATTTTTCATTATTGTAACATCCAAGAGAAACAAATAAGCCTTCTGGTCTTGCGCGTTCGCTAACATAGAAACTATGTTGTGAATATTGTTCTCGAATGAATAAAGTTTTTAAATTAATAACAGCACCATCCTTAAACTTAAAAGTTCGATATTCGTACCCACCAGACGTTGTTTCTTCAAACGTTTTAGTTTCGTTCAAACAACACCCGTTTTCAAAATTAAAATCACCATCTTTGTAATTCCAATGATCTCTAAAACATGTATTGTAGTTATAATACCAGGTGATCACACTATTAACCTCGCACCAGTCGTCTCCGCTTTTTACCGAAATAATAAGGTAATATATTACAACGAGTGAATTAATAATCATGATTTTAGAGCTTTCAAATATTTTTTATTCGGAATTATCTCCAAAATATTCGAAATACAATTATTTTAATTAAATAGATACTAATAATTAATTTATTATCTTTTATATACAGTAGTGGAATAAACCCACTTAATTTGGAATAAACCCACTTAAGTGAGTAAATTTTGTGAAACTTTGGTTGAACTTTAAGCCAAAATAGAAAAAACTTAAGTACAACCCTTTATAAATAGGAAAATGGGTTTGATTGGATCTTTTCTTTGTTTTTTGAAAAAAAAGTCAATTTTGCTCGAGATGAAAAAAAAATATTTGAAATGGTTTTTTATTTTAATTAAAATAAACTTTAAATATAGCTTTTGTTTTTTACATAATTCGTTTTGAAAAGTATTTTCTTTTAACAAAAAGAAGCTCAAAAAAATTCAAAAAGTGAAAAAAAACAAGTAAGAGCAGAATAAACAAGCTTGAAAATAAAAGCCGGATTGAATTTGTGGTCTTTTTTGTGCACATTATTTCAATGATTGTTTTTTTAATAAATAACATTAAAAAATATTTCATAATAGTTGTTGTTAAGATTCAAAAGAAAATGATAGAAAGATAAAAAACATAAACAAATGAATTGAAATAAACGAGAATTTAAACAATAACAACAACAAAAAATAACATTTAAGGAACAATAAGAGAAAAAACGGGATAATACGAAGAATTGAATTTTTTGGATTGAAATTGAATTTATTATTTTTTAATTTATAAACTTCAAAGTCGGTATTTTTAAATTAAACTTTTGAGCTTTTGTTGAAAACTGTTTTAAAGAAACATTTGGACCAAAAAATAAGTTACATTTTGTGTAAATCGTAAAATGTGGTTTTTTACACAAAAATGTAAAAATTATACACTTTTTGGTAAAATACCAAATGGAATCTGGATTCGACAAGTTTTCCACTCAAAGCATTAAAAAAAACCGTGTTTAAACTTGAAAAGGACTTAAAAAATCATAAAGTCTTCACCAGAACAAATCAACATATAGCCCAAGTTTTGCAAATGTCATGAAATAAATTTAAATTAATTGTTTTTTTGTTTTTTTTGTTATAAAAATGTTATTAAAAGTATATTTTTAATTAAAATTATTTGTTATTATTAAAATGTTTTTGTCTTATAACATAATTTCAGTTTTTTTTAATTTTTTGTTATTTCCAAAAATAAAACCAAAATTTACTCACTTAAGTGGGTTTATTCCAAATTAAGTACTTGAATATTGCCACTGTAATTCAACAGAAATAATTTGTTGTGAATTGGTTTTTAAATATAAGTTCTTTTTGTTCTTTATACAGTTTTTTGAGTGTTTTGTTACATAACCTTTAAAGTTATTTTAATAAACAATTTCTGAATAAATAAAAAAGAAAATTAAAACATAAAATATAAATACAAATTCAGTCAACTTTAAAAGTTATTTGTTCTTTTTAAGACATATGACTGGATGAAACCCATCCACTGGACACATATATCTATTTTTAAATCCACTGGACAAACCATTTTTATGGATGGAAAAAATAAAATATATATAAATAGATTATTTGTTTTTTTAAACAAAAAATTATTTTGCCGAATTATATTTTTATAATATTTGTGATTTTTCAATAATATTGGAATGTATTAAAACGTTAAAACAATCGTAATTATAAACAAAATTTCCAAAGTACATCGTAGTATAAGAAACAATGTACATAAACTGTAGTTCAAAAGTCTGTATTGCAGTATTTTTAAAACTTCCTAAAGTCCCGTTTTTTTATTTTTCCTAAAAAACAAAAAAACAAAAAATCGAAAGTACAGACTTAATTTTGAAAAAAATACCAATCCCGTTCTATTATTATCGTACAAATTCGGGAATTTATCGGAATATTAGCCAGCCTTTTCCAAAAAACCCGATCCCGTTATTTGATTTGACCATAAATCGATACTTCGCAACACAAACTCAACGTTGTTGGTCAAATCATACAACGATAAACACGTTAATAAATTGGGATGTTGTTGTTTGTGTCAATTTGTAACTAAATATCAGTTTCGTTAGTTTTTCATTTTAATTAAAAACAAACATGTGGTTTTGTTCTTTAAACAAAAGAAAATGAAATAACGAGTTTTAAAAAAAATAAATAAGAGCAAACGGTTAATAATTTTGTGTTTTGATATTTCAGTCATTGTTGTGACAACACCATCAGTATATCGATATTACGCGATACTTTAGCGCTTGTTATTTATTTTATTATTATAAATGAAGACTCGACTTTGAAAATTTTTGGCATTAAATTTATCAGCTTTTTATAATAAAATGCACTTTTGGGATCATTCACGTGTATTTCAAAAACAAAAATCCCGTTATTTCAATTTATATATGGAATATTTTAATGCTTAAAAATTCTTCAAGTAAAAAAACATTTTTTGAAGACTGTTTTTTTTTCTTGGAAAAAAATAAGCGAATTTATTACAAAAAAACGATTCCCAAAAATAATAAACAAAATAAATGCAAAAAATCGGGACACCCCAGTACAGACTTTTGAAAACCAGTTTATATTAAAAGATAATCACATTAGATTAAGACATTATTACTGAAATTATAATAAAATATCAAAATAGTGGTTTCTACAAAGTTGTAATTAAATGAAAAAAACAATTAATAAATAAAAGACTTTCAAACAACAAATACAATTAAAAGAGTTGTTTTTTGTTTTTGTAGTATATTAAGTCGTCTATGATATCAAGATAGACAATCATCTGTTATTTCAGTGTTTTTCTTGACATTTTGATGTGTACAAATATATTCAACATTAATACAAATGTAAACCACGATACACGTTTATTAATAGCATTATTAAAACTGTATACTTATATTTAGAAAAATACTTAACATCTCTAAAAATAAATAACATCCAAGTGATTGATGAAGTAACAATTAAAATCTTACAAACATTTTTAAATTATTACTAAAATATACACAACTGAAAATATATTAAAAATACATAGAGAACCATGAAAATCACTGCGACGTGAAATATTACTGCGAATTGTTATTGGTCCAAAAATAATGTTATTAAGGTTTTAAAACATTTTGGGTTAATTTTTTTTGTTCTTTAAGGCTGTTAAAATGAAAAACAACAATTTTGTTCTACAAAATCTTTTGAGTTCAAGTCAACAGATTGTGCTAAGAGGGAAAATGGTGTTTTTATATACTTTTTATGAGGGTTTTTTCCTTTTCTAATTGAAAAACAAAACGTTTTTAAATTTTTTGTTATTACAAAATGACAAATTCTAAATTATAGTTTCGGATATCCAAAAATTATATTATCAAGTAAAAATTTGTTTTGATATTTTTAAAATGTGAATAAATGTGCTAATAAGTGATATTGATATATTCGTTACATCGATTTAAAAAATAAAGTTTTATTGGACAGTACATATCTCTCCCAAAATATGAACACATTTCAACAACAAAGTTTTGTTTAATATCGTATTGTTGATGAAGATTAAAAATTATAAATAAAAAATCGTCCTCATAATTTTAATTACCAAATAATCACTTAACAATATAATTTCATTCTGATGTATAAAATGTATTCATTAGTTGCTTTCACAATGATTTGTTATTCGAAAAATCATTACTCAATGTCTTGTAGATGTTTTATGACAGTCGTTGATTTTTCGATTAAAAAAATCCAGAGAAAGTATCTAACCCGTCACACCGTGACACAAAAAATGGTTTAAAAACAAAACGAATAAACAATATAAATATGTATTTCATAACAACATCTGTAATATTGAAACCGTGCAGTAAATACTTGCCATGTTGGTTGTATGACCACTGATTATTTTGATTGTAAAATGATGTGGAAATACAACCACAATTCACATCAAATAAATCAAACAATGAACTACTATTATAATATAAATATAATTAAAATATAATAAACAACAAACACGTGAAATAGTTAATTAACGTGTATTTTTAATTAACATCAACATATCAATAGCAAAAATTTATAATAAAACAACAATAAATTATAATTTATTTTTTCTGAATGTTAAACTATTTTTAAATAATTATTATCATATAATTAAACTAGTCAATTAATTGCAGATAATTTTATTATAAATTATCATTATTTTATAAGGGTTAATACACCAGAACCCCAAACAATTTAATTCTTTCATTTCAACAAATTATTTAAATTTTAAATTGGTGTGATTAAATTATCGACCATTTGAAACCCGCGCTCGTTAACCGTTTGTTATCATCAAATTGATTTATATTTTATAAATGTATCAATATGATATGTTTATAACGTGTTTTTATATTTTGTTTATGTTTATTGTATTGCAATTTGTGTTGTTATAATAATTTCGAAGTTGAAACGTTTATTCGATCTTAATAATTCGAGTTGATATTTCTGTGTGTTTTTATATTGTTATTATGTTAAAACATATTGATTATAATGATAATTTAAGTTTATTCAATTGGAGTTGATAATTTCAATATTCACAACAAAAATTAACGACTAGCTGAGCAGAAATCAAATAGAGTTTTACAAAAACCAAAGAGTGGACTATTCATTCAAATTTTAGATGTTTTAATTTATTCGTTTTTGTTATTATATTTTGATGTATTGTTTCGTATTTTATGTTATAAATTGTTAAAAACTATAAAATAAAAACCAATATTTAGTTTGAGTTGTTTGGAATGTTCGTTTTTACGAATTTACCCTTGTTTTAATTGAAAGCCATATTATATAAAATTTTTACATAGTAAATTATTTTTTATGTTTTACAAGCCACAATAACATTATTTTTTGCCCAATAACAATTCGCAGTAATATTTCACGCCGCAGTGATTTTTCATGGTACTCTAATTACACACTCTAGGAAAATTAGACTATATTTATAATTGAATTTGAAATGTTATGGTTACTTTACTCGTCAAATCTTAATAAAACTTTATTGTTTATGTTCACATTAAAATGTTTGTGATTGTGATCATGATTGTGTGATAGTTTATAATTATATTTACTTGTTCATAGCTTTCTTTTTCTTAATATAGTGTGTTTGGGTTTTTGACTTGCTTTTTATTATTCAATTTTTTTATACAAGCAGTGAAGTGAAGGTATAAATTTTCAATTGAATAATAAATAAAAGGGTTTTGAGAATAATTGAACAATTTTAGGTCATATTTTTACTGTTTTTCGGGTTTAAATTTTTAGTCAATAAAACTAAAATAATATTTTGAAAAAATTTAGACCCATTTTTAGATTATTTTTAAATTCGGCTTTGTTGAAAAAATAAGTTGAAAAATAAAATTGAACGAACTTAAAAAATAAATTGAAGTCGAAAGAAGAAAAATAAGCAAAAACCAAGAATTAACTCTTGTTTAAAAAAACAAAGATTAAATATTTTTGGTGTCATTTAACACGTTTGTTATTGTTATTTTGTCATTATTTATCACTTATTACATAAATATTCAAATATTAAATTTTATTACATCATCTTTAAGATCTTTATTAATGGTAAGTTGTGAGTGTAGTTATTGGCTATTGGGCAAGCT